TATATATATATATATATAAATGCTTTTAATAATGTTGTATGAATAATATTATGTTCATTATAATTGCGATTTCTAACTTGTTTATTGCCACGGAAAGATTTTATTTGTTATATGAAAATATGCAAATAATATAGAATACATCGAAAATAGAGGATTGGTTTTTGTTGTGAAAAATGTCTATTTTAGTTGTTAATATTTATTTTGCATAATTATTTAATGATATAAAAATAGGAATTATTTTAACTCCATTTTAATCAATTTATATAAATAAACAAATTTTCACTTTATTTGTATTATTTATTACTTTTATTCCAAATTTAATCGGTATTTTTCATATTAAATCCTATTTTTTAGACCCTTACATTTTTTACACCTTACTTTTTAGTTAATATCTTTTAAAATTTTGTTTGGATTTAAATTTTGGCGATTCTCATTTATGTTGTAGCTAATATATTTTTCAAGAGTTCTGTATAAATTTAAAATTTTCGTATGCGTTTATATCGAAGTAATATTAATTTAAAAACCGATATTCTTTGCTTTTATCCTATTTGTTAAAACAATCTACAGATAGCCATAAACTTAAAGCTAAAAAATTGCATTCGATTACAGATATTGTTTGTTCAAATATAAAAATCATGTTTATGAAATTCAACGATGGAAATCGAAAAATCACTCCATCGCGAGCAATTCTTCTGAATGTATTTCACAATTAGATTTATTTGGAGAGTAACTGAAGATTAAAGTTGAATATTGAATGACTACCCTTAATCGGGTTTAATATAACTTCTGTAGCTATGTGAAAATGACCAATCAGTCATTCCATTCTTCAGAGCTATGATTAAGCAATAGCTATGATTAAGAGTTATTTTGTAAACGTAGTTTATGTTTGCATCGTGAGATTTTTGCGTGTTACATCGTTGTCACTCCATAAATCCGTCCCATTGAAAAGCATCTCTGCAAGCGTCGTTAGGGACGAGGGTGCTTTTTCGGTATACTGCACGCATAATTGAATACGTAAACGCGCATAATAAGCGTTCGACGACTTTTGATAAGACTAGATTAATTTTGTATCCCCCCCCCCCCTTCTCTCGACATGTGCGCCTGCGTATTATAGCTAACTCTCACACTGAGCAATTGATTTTGCAATCTTTATATAAATCGCGCGAATAACGTTGCCATCATGTAATGGGATTCTATCGCTATATATTTTCTAAATTGTATTGTTACCATAATCGTGCAACTTATTTCATATTTGTATATGGTTTTTGTAATTATTATAGATAAATATTATGGAAAAGATGTAGGTATATATATATGTCATAGAAATAAACGTCTTAATTTACAGAAAAAAGTTTAATAAAAAACATCTTAATTTAGAGAAAAAAGTCCAATAAAAATATTTTGAAATATAATGTAACATATTTTTAGAAAAATATAATAAATTTTATGATATATATATAATAAATTCAGCTAGTGCTTGCTGTTATTTAAATATATAATTATTTTGATAATTATCTATGTAGATGAATAAATGGCTTTATATTATTTTTGTCTAGATTATTAGAATATCTAGTATTAGCTCTATCTTTATATTTATCTAGGTAAAAAATAAGTGCAATCTTTTCAAATTATGTTAATGTGTAGCGAATTTAGTATGCACCCCTTTCCCATCAGTATAAAATTTTAAAGAATTTCTTTTTTATAAAAAAAACTAATTTTTTAAGAAATAAAGATTTATATTGTAAGTGGAAATATGAATATATCTATATTCTAAATCGTTTTGTTTAAAAACAAAATATTATCTTAAAATTATCTAGATGAAATGCTTTAACAATAAAAACAATGAAATATGGACTCCTTCTAATCTAAGAATTTAATTAAAATAGATTAGGAAAATTGGCGGAAAATAGTGTGCAAAATGTTAACAATAAATTATTTTAATAACATACGAATCCTCTGACTTATAATTTCATTTAGATATATTTAATATGATGTCATCTTTATCTTATCTAAGATACGTTTATGTGTAATTTATCCTATTCTTATCTAGGTAATTTTTATTTAAGCGCAACACTATATATACGAAATTTCATGAATACCGTAGTTGATAAATTATTTCCGAGTGGACAATTCGCATTGATAGGAAATTTACACATACATTCAATGATACAATATCTATCCCGCAAATTTTCGCGCATAATGTAAGCTTGATCCTGCGAACGTCTTCAATAAGAAAGGAATAATAGATTCACATTGTCGTGATACTTGCAGGAGCATAAGAGGAAATCCGCATTTCGGCGAAAAGCGAGCGAAAGGTAGACCATGCTGAAATGATGTAATTTTCTCCTTAACGGCTGATAATTGTCCAGTTCAAGAGTGGCCTGGTAGCATCGTTATCATAATGAATCGAGAAAACGAGGAAGTACGTTAGCAAACACGAGAGTATCGTTCACCTTCAGTTTCTTTTCTTTTGTTCATTCTTCTTGCTCGTTATGATCGTTCCAGAATCCTTTATATAGTAAATCATATTAATCTTGTTTATAAGAAAAATTCATTTTCAACTGTTAGTGCTAGAAGCAATTCAGGATGCATTGCACACTCCAGTCCAAAATAGGATATTTGAATGTAGAAATAATCAAAAAATATTTGTAAGAAATATTCTTTTCGCGTTTAATTTAATTATATTATAATTAATTTAATTTTAAAAAATACATTGATTATAATATAACTATATAATTGAACTATTATGATTCCATAAAAAAAATGCAGAATTATGAAAGTAATTACAGAAATTAGTAATTATAGAAATTAATATTGCCAATTTAATATGACATAAATAGATCTTATTGTTAGATGTCTATTTAAAAAGATCCAAAACTTGAAATTATCGGTTTAATTAAGAAATTATTTAAGAAATATTTTGACTATTATACATATATGTAGGTACATAAAAAATCTACTTTATTAATAAATAGCGAGAAAATATTACATATTAGTTTAATAGTGTTAATTTAATACAAAAACTACTTAAGATAAATTTGTTACTTTTATTAAATATAACATTTTTCGCTCTAATTTTGCAAATAACTGACAACCTTGTGCATTAATCTTTTACCTTCAGCAGCGACCGGTACCTCAGACGTTATGCGGCGCGCTGCAAAAGGAACCGAATTGCAAATGCCTGGTGCTGACAGTCCTTATATACGGCTGCCTTGCGGCAGTAACATGGTGCAGATGTGCCAACGTTACCAAGGTACGTGAAAGATATTTTGCATCTGAATATATATTGTATTTACAACTGATTTTATGCCGCTGAATGCGATGGATGAAACATCAAATTGTTTCGAATCACGACTATTTCAAATATTTTCTATTATTATCCAAAAATTATTGAATCTTGGAGATCTTTTCCTTTAAGACGTTAAAGAAGTCTCAATTATGAAATCCTAAAGAAATCTTTCAAAAAAAATGAACAAGTATACGCCAAGTGCATAAATAAGTATCAAATATTACATCCTTCCTAATAAAAATGGATACAAATGCGATTAATCAAATATTTTATTATACAAAAAAGATTTGTAAAAAAACTAGTAATTAATAAAAAAGATTATTACATATGAAGGATTATTAAGGGGATGCTGGAGCTGTCCGTATTACTGATAAAAAACTAAAAAAAATTCCTTTTCCATGATTAAAATATACATGCTAATGTATCTGGCGTGGTATATTTCGTGTTCAAAGCTGGAAAAGATAAAACATTACAGATTTCTTTATCCATTTTACCTCCAGTGTGACTGGTCGCCATACTGAGATAAAAATAGATAAAGAAATTTGTAATCTTTTATTTTTTCTGTAAAAATTTCGGATTGGGCTAGTGATAGTGCTGCGAATTTGGTAGTGATACGAACATGTACGTAGTGAGTTCACGGCATTATATGATCATATTTACATCCTCAGACGCTCGACGCTTGATGTAATCCTATGTAAGGATATATTTAGATGTGAAAAAAATTTTTTAAATTGTAAACTTTTAAAATCAGTTTCAAATAATATTCAAACCAATTTGAATATGTGATCGAATTGTTAAAATTGCCATGTGTACTTACCCAACAAACACAGACATAGTTACATTGTAGTTGATTACATCCAAATAGAAGAATATGATTTGTTGGTCGATCGTAGAACCGAGAATGTTTGGTGTCATACAAATCATATTCTTCTATTTGAATGTAATTACTACAATGTAATTATATGTTATACTACAAATATTGCCTCTAGGAAGTTACGACTAACATGTACGTGTATATGTAGCACTAACATGTTACGTGTAATATGTACGTTAATAACGTGTTATGCAACATATATACAAGGTATTTTTTTAAATAATAGACACTAATCATGTAGTACTATTCCTGATTAAAAATTGAGTCGAAAAGTCTTCTATAATTTTGTAATTTTCACAATGGTTAATGAAATATTAATTTCTAAAGATTGCCGAATGTTATAAGCGCGTATCCGGCTATCCAACCATTAACTATATTAGTTGCAAAATGGTAGAGGATTTTTCAACTCACTTTTTAATCAGGAATAACATTATGTGAATCGCTTATTCGGCAATTTTTAGAAATTAATAGTTTATTTTAAAGGTATCAAACGTTTCAGATATTTAAGCGCTTATAAAAGATGTCTAAAGAAAGATTTTTTTAAGATTTTTAAGTTATTTTATATTATATATAAAACTTAAATTTTTCAACTTTAAGGCTAAAGAATTTTGAGTAAATTCAAAATAATTTAAATTTTCATATAATTAAATTGTTAGAATATTCTCAAAAGGAGCATTCATTACATTCATCAATTACATTATTTATCTTATGTACACCATACGTATATAGGCAAATTTTCTGTTGTAATCCGGTAAACAAAAATTCTTTCTCTTGTTTCTCAGATTATGGTCAACTACACCAAATTCCCCATTAGAAGTACGAGACACGTATCATCGCCCTGTGATGACGGCTATATATATATTCCGGTATGTATATCGAGGGCAAATATGAAAAGGAGCTCTCCTATTTTTCCTCTTCGTTACGAATCGTTCCTCTTTAAAAAAAAAAAAAAAAAAAAAAAAAAAACTCGATGAGGAGTAATATCGACTCTTTTCGCTCGATCTTTCCACACGCTTAAATACACGTCGCGCTATTCCCTTGGCTCTTTCATTATAATCTTGGCCTCTTCGCGCAGGTAGCATTTATGGGGATGCTGTATCTGGTTTATCTGGTGGAGTGCTATCACTCGCCAATCAGGATCGATTTATTACACGCGGAGAGCCAGGACAGCGTGTTGTCCAAATTGGCACAGCTAAAGATGGCACAGCCGCGAATATGGTGGAAGGCAGTTTCCTATCACTACGTACGCAGGAAGCGACAAATCACGCGTTATAGGAATGGAGATAATTATACTACCACACAGGTGACGCGCCCCATTACCTTTTATCGAATGTGCTTTCCTCTTTAATCCTTTCAAGCACGAACTCATGAGCATATTCACAAAAGTTGCTTGAAAGATTAAAATAGAAAAGAACTATTTATTATAAAAGAAATTTAAAAATTTTCGATATTTATATGTATTCACTTTGATGAAATTACAGCCGTAATTTGAATGATAGATCTTATGTTTTAGAGGTGTGATTTCACGTAGATATGCATATCCATCAGGGGGTCGATTGTGTATCTCGAAATCTAGTGTAAATGATAAAAATAGGCTCTCATTGGGTAGTTTTCATCATAGTGGAAATGCGACATTTCTCACGTGATATTGCTTAACAAGAAATTCTATATCGAATTGTATCAAATGGTGTCAAAGCGTGTCGAGATTAGTCGAAATTAATTGAAATTTGTCAAAATTCGTTCTATTTAAAGACATAGATTATTATTTCCAGCAATGGACATTATTTTTATGTTTTGTACGGAGAAAAATGACAACGAAAACAATAAAATTCGCAAAAGACATTTGATTTTAATAAGAAGACAATTACGAGATACTCAAGATCCATTTGAAATCCCTGACATTTAGAAAATTATATAGGTTAGTATATAAATATGTAAATTACTTAAATAACTAAGATGATAAATGGCCTATACAGTTGAACCAAATCTTCATGTCTAATAATATTTTTGCATAAATTTTAAAATTTCCAGTTCAAATAAAAATTATGAAAGATTATAAAATTCACTCAAACAAAAATATTATTGGACACAAAGATCCGCTTGACTGTATAACTTTATTATGTTAATTATTTGAATAATACACGGTTCATAAATATCCTAATGTTGAAATAAATCATATTTTGTTATAAATTTTACATATACACGTGTGTGTGTTTATGTGTGTCATAACAAAAGTTCTGTATCACTTGCATTTCGCACTCATATCTATGATTTTCACTCTCGTGAGTGTAGAGATATCGTATTTTCACTGTGTTTATAACCAATCGCGTGTATTTTTTCACGTGAAATGAAAGTGCGAGAAGTGAGAACATTCAACGATGATATGCAATTAACCCCCAAGGGAGGTCGATTCTATAATTCGAATTATAGAATCGACCTGAGATAAAAGTGCGAAAAGTGAGTGATCTCATTCGACTCACTTTTCGCACTTTTATCTCACATGAGTTTGTCCGTGTGATTCTATAACGATGAAGTGAAAATACGAAATCACATAGATTTGCCGGTGTGGGGAAAAATGTGAAAATGTGAAGTAAAACATAGGTCGCGGTCCAATTCACGCTCCCAACGCTTAAAAATCATTTCATCCTTGTTATTCGTCAAATGTTAATCGAAGATAAACGATGCTCATGAGCGTTGTCAGCATGAATCGGACTACAGTCATAAAGTTCAATTTATTCCTAATTTTTTTTGAATTCTAGAATTGAAAACAGATAAGGAATAAGTCGAACTTCGATTAAAAGTGGTTAAAAGTAAACCATGAGTTATAGAATTGGGCCTAAATAATTTTCTGCCATTATTTACAAAGTTAATCCTAAAAATTAATATCTTTAATATTTTGATAGATATTATTAACATCTTGAAAATTAATATCTTTAAGCAATCTTCGAGCAATATTCAGTCTCATGTGACACTTCGTGTTGTCAACATCTCTGCTCGCCGCTCTGATTTCGCTTTCTTGTTCAACTTAGACATTCTCTTTTGTGAAAAGTGCTGCTTTATTTCATTATTGTGCTTTATATTAGTCATTGATGCTTATTGCAACATAATTTTTTTACTTTTTTACTTTTATTTTTAATGTTTGTTTTTTTTACTTTTAATATCTTCGCGAATGCTGATCGGCGAGCAGAATGTATCTCTGTGAGTGAGTGACGCGATCTTTCTGTGTTTTCGTTATTCTATTAATGCGTTTGTACAGCATTAGTTGTGTGTTTTTCATTACATTCTTGTAATATTTTGTAACTGCGCAATAATTTCTATAATCACGTCATAATTTTATGTTTAAATCTAGCCATTATATTCGTTACCGTTATTGTTTATACGTTATTCGCTTCTGTCTTTATTTAAAAGACAGACATAATTATAAATAATTATTTTGTTAATTTGTTGCGCGCTTTGTTTGTGTGATCCTACGCGTAAACACATTCTCCTGTACTGTATCTACCTTCTGTGTACTTTTATATGAGTCAGTTGACGTGTACCAAATGTAAACGTTTTATTTCGCGTAAGCGCTCTTGCGCTTTCTATGGCGCTGACAATAGTTTGCGTCCCTCTGATGATTGCGAGCTCCTGTTCTTGCAGCTGGGAGTGGATCGTCGTTGCTTCTGCTTGGGGCTGATGCCTCTTTGGTTGGTTGCGTCTCGCCGCCTTTTCTCTCATCTCTACCTGACGAGAGTGATGGAGAGCGGTGTCATTCTTCGCGGATGCCTTCTGATGTCTCATCTGCTCTTTCTGCAATTAAGTCCTCCTTGTCTTTAACTATCCATTTCTTCTTTGGAACATAGAATTGCTCGTATTGAATCAGAACTTAGTCTTTTCGATCGTCTCGAGCCCATTCCGGAGACATTTAACGCTAGGATGATGGAGTTTGTTGGGGTGCTACGGCGTCTCGGATGTTGAGGGTGCCGACGGGTCGACTGGCGGCGGTGACAGATCCGCCGATCTGGTTGCTATGAGTGCAAGGCAGGTCATCCTTGAGGAGCGTCTCGCTAGGCTGGAGGGGGAGGTGCGTGCTGGCCTTGCGATTTTTGCCGATTTCTGTTCTTATGTCTTGTCGAATGGACTGTCCGCTAGTTTTGAGCGCATAATCAATGAGCAGAGAGATCATTCGTATTCGGTCTACCAAAGGTCTCTTCAGAAAATTGCACTGAGACTAACAAAAGTTTCCTTGATGTTTCGATGTCTTCACCGGAGATTGCGCGGGCCTTCAGGATTCCTGCCAAGAATTCGTCCTCGTCTTCATGTTGTCAAATTTACGACAACGAACTGATCGCCAGAGCTCGTCAGAAGGAACTGAATGCATTTGATGTCTGTGATTCCTGGCCGGCTGGGAAGATCTCTATTTGCAAGCGGGCTATTTGCGTCTGAGCGGCGCGCTTTTGCTGAGGCTCGTTGACTGGCGGCGGCATGGTGTTGGGCGTGTTTGGATACGTAGGGAGATCACTTATTTTCGTGTCAGGGATAATACGCCCTCGTATCGTTATACCTCCCCAGATTTACTTCTCTCCGTTCTCGACTTTACCCCCGTCCACTCTCTCTCATTCCGCTCCCCTGTTCCTGCCATTTGCGTCCGGTGGAGATGGTCCTGTTTGACTTCTTGCAGATCCATCTCAATTTTCGGTTTCGGATTCGGGTGTCTCTCGCAAAGGCGGACTGCTGTTGCACACATCAACGTTAGGTCGCTCGTTTCGCATGTTGTATTGATCAGAGACGTTATCGCCTTCCATCGTTTGGATATTCTGACCGTCGGGGAGATTTGGTTGCGGAATTCCACCGACTCTGGATCTGTCGATATAGATAACTACTCATTCGCTCGGACAGATCCACAAGCCGCCGCGGGGACAGTGTCGCTATATATCGATGAGTCTCTCCAATTCTCCCTGATCGGCTTGGGCGTCCGATCGGTGAGCACTCTCACTGACACTGTTGCTATGTCTCTCCATCTTGCTCACGGTCAGCGGGTGGCGGTCGTCTGTGTATATCGCCCTCCGGGTGCGCCGCTTTCCGACTTTATAAAGTCATGCTTGTCCTGTGCGGCATGTATAACTGATGCGATCATATGCTTAGATGATTCAATGTCAACTTGGTCGAATTAACTATAATGCCAAACTGTTACTTGATATCGTATCTGTCTTCTCTTAAGCAATTAATTGATGCTCTAATTCGCTTAACATGTAATTCGGCAACCATCTTGGATCTTATTTTTGTCTCGTCGAGCATTAATATGATTAAGTGCGGAGTCAGCAATGCGATCAATGTGAGTAATCATCATGTGATTTACTATCCATGCGATGTTAGCTATTCCGCGATCACATCGCCCTGGTCGTGTCTCTGTCTCGCGTAACATTTATGCAATCAGGCTTGAAGACATCGAGTCTGAGCTGAGGCAGACTGGTCCCTTTTATATGCGGTGCATGTTGATGAGATGATCTCTTGTTTTACGGTTCTTATATTGTAATTTTTAACCGACTTGTCCCGATTACTTGTAGGCGTATTTCTCATCCCCTCGCTCCATGGCTGAATGGTGCAGTCTGACGATTCGAGCTGAAGAGACATGCCCTTCTTAGATTCAGGTGATCTCAGTCTCCTGCGGACTGGCGGTGCTACAAGGGTTTGCGGAACGACGTGAATATTGTTGTTCATCGTGAGGAAAAGTCTTTCCTCTCTGCCTCCCTTACAACTGATTCCTCGCTCCAATTCTGGAAGAATCTCCGTGTCCTTGGTGGTGCACAATCCTCCTCTGCTTCTATATCTTTGCGCCTTCCCTCCTGAATAATCATTTTCTTGATATTACCTTCTTCGTCTTATTCCTCTAACTCTTTTATCTTCTTTCCTCCTCTCCTCACGTTTCCTGAAAACGTAATTATTTTAATTTTGCTCCAATTACTCCCAGCGATCTCTACAGTATTTTTAAGCGCATTCGTCTGACTTCCACTAGGCCTCTTGATCTCTCCGATCGTGCTCCTACTGTGCCTTCCTCAATGTCTTGATCCCCTTCTCTATATGTTAAATTTCTCCCTCTCTTACAGTACTTTTTCTTCTTCCTGGAAACACTCAATTGTTCTTCCCATTCCTAAAATTAATAACCCTTCTTCTCTTCCATCTTTTCGTCCTATCTCGTTCCCCTCTTTCCTCTCAAAGCTGCTTGAGTATATCTGTTTCTCTCAGCTTAATGCCTTTGTCTCCAATTTTAATATCCTTCCCTCCTGTCAGTCTAGTTTTCGATCTCACAGCACGACGACGGAACTTTGCTTTACATCTCTGACGTCGTGCTTCGTAATTTCGACAATTGTCACCTTACTTTCATCGTTGCGCTTGACCATAAAGGCTTTCGATATCGTCAATCATGATCTACTTTTAGTTAAACTGAAATTATGCAGTCTTTCCTATTCTGCTATCTCGCTAATCTACTCATTACTTACAAACCGCACGCAGCAAGTCCTCATATATAATCCTTTTCCTCTTTTTTTTATCTATTCGTGTCGTTCTCTCTGGTGTTCCTTAGGGTTCCGTTCTCGGACTTTTACTCTTTAATAACTTTGTCTCTGATTTGTCTAATGTTTCTCTATCCTCTGAGCTCTTCATGTGTGCAGGTGATTAATTCTTCTCAAATCCTTTCATCCATTTGATGTTTTAGCAATCTGTTCTGCTTTGAATACAGACTTAAAATCTATCGCCGAATGGTCCACTAATAATGCCCTGCATCTAAATTCTTCTAAATCATCCTTGCTAATTGTCGGTTCCTCATTATTGTTATCCCGTATTCAGTCCTTCGACATTTCTCTTAATTCTATTCTAATTTCACGCTCCTCCTCTATTAAGATTCTTGGTGTTGACTCTTCATAGTCATTCGAAACACGTGGCCGTCAAGTGTCGTGCTGCTTATGCTCGTTACATCTTCTTTATCCCCTTCGCCACATCCTTTAATGCTCTAAAAAACTCCTCACTTCTCAATTACTTGTTAGTTCTCTATTTGATTACGCTGATGTCTATGTTCCTGCTTTTAACCAATATCTGCTAAATCGTGTACAGCGATTCTTGTCTCTGCTTCTCCTATTGTGCTCGTAAATACGACTACATATCTCCGTATTATCAGAAATCTGGCTGTCTTAAAATTTGGCAACGTTTTATTCTCTACCTGTGCTGTCTTGTATTTTCCCTCCTTTGCTCCAATACTCCTATATCTGCGTCGTCTCCTTCAGTTGAACATCTGAGCATCATTCCTCTTTTAATCTCTCTTCTTATCAGATACCAAGATTACTTATACTTCCCCATATATCGGTCCACTAAGTTCCGTGCTGCTTTTTCTTATACTTCTGTCAAACATTTTAATTCCCTTCCTGATTCAATAAAAACCTCTCCCTCTCTTCGTCCTTCTCTATCCTCCTTTCGTTCCGCTGCCTCACGTTTCAGTATTCAAACGAGACTGATGTGATTGGTGTATGTGCGGGTGTATGTGTATGTATATGTGAGTGAGTGTATGTGTGGGTGTATGTGTGTGTGTGTGTATATTTTTAGCTATTAGTTTACCTCTTATTATTCTTATTGTTGTCTTCTGATTTTGTTATTGGTAGGCTTTGTAACAGCAATTTTGCTGACGCCTAATCATTTGTAAGCTACTATTGTCTATTGTATTTATGTTTATGTTAACTATAGTCAATTGTTTCATATTTTATATCTATTATTCTGTTAACATGTAGTCTTTTTCTTATAGCTTTGCAATAAGCTAAATTAAATTAAATATTCATAGTCCGTTCTTATTTTAAGACTGTCTTAAGTAATGTCTTAAGATGTTAATACGGCTCTCTTATTGTTTCATGACATCTTAAGACTATACTTAAGACTGTACTTAAGATGATCTTGAATATAAGATCTGACTATGAATACCAGCCTTCATGTAAGTCTCATATGTGGTTCAAAGGCTTCTTCATCCTCTTCATCCATTAACAAAATTGCTATCATGTATATTATCATTTGATTTTATTTTTATTTTTGGACTGTGCAAAATTATAATATATACGTATTTAGGCTCAACGTTACTTTGGCTTTAAGCAAAACTTAAAACTCTCTCCGTCTCTGTATCTCTTTCGCTTTGAAATGAAACAGAGAGAGTTTTAAGTCTTAACCTTCAAACTGTCAATTCAGTCGGTTCAGTCAGCTGTGGTTCCTCTGTCACTCTATTTCTCAGTCTTTCTTTCTCGGATCTCATTTTTCAACAAAAAATTTCTTGCCGAATGAATTCCCGTGAGATGACTCTCCTTTTCGTCATGATGAAAGTTACGGAATCGCGCAGATTGCTCACTTTTCGCATTTTCACTATATTTTACTTACAGAATCGACCATATTAGATTACCAGATATTTCCTATTCTTCTCCCTTCCCATTAGTATAGCTAAGTCAGATCCGAGGAGGGGGGGGGGAGAGGGAGGAGGAGGGGAATTCGGATTTTAATATTTCACCGTAAATGCCTTTTATATTTTCGTAAAACTTGAAATATCTAAAAGGCATTTTACAATGCGTTGCAAACATCCGTTGCCAGTTGAAACGTTTGTCGCGACAATCAATTAGAAGCATTAATGGTATTATTTATGCTTCTGATTAGTTGTCATGACATGCATTGTAAAATGTCCTTAATAGCGTATTCGATTTACCGTAATCGAAGTCAACGATCTAGTCTTTTTAGCTGCATTTCTTGATAGCTGAATTTCAGAAATAAAAGCGCGTTCTTTCTGGGGCTCTAGTTTTTCTTTCTCGAATCTCACTTTTCGACAAGAAATTTCTTGCCATATAAATTCCTGTGAGATGGCTCACCTTTTCATCATAATGAAAGTTATGGAATCGCGTGGATTACTCAATTTGCACGTTGTATGTACAGCTTGTCACAGAAAGATTGCAATATTTTTTTTTCGATGAGTTTCGAAAGGCAGCTTGCTCACCGAGCGATTAGTGCTCTTATATATGGATCCACAAATAAGAATCGCTCGGTGAATAAGCTGCATTTAGAAACCCATCGAAAAAATAGTGTTGCAACCTTTCTGTGACCGGTTGTACATGTATGTACAGAATTGATACAACTGGCAACCATTGATGCGATCCATTTCACGCTACATCTGCTTTGAAACATTTTTTGATTGGACCAAAGATTGGACGAAGATTTATCAAATCTTTTTTCCGATTAGTTAAGGAAATATTTTTAGTGAATCGCGCTCATAATAATTGATGTCGCGATAGCAGAAAAGTTAAAGACGCATTTGACAAATCTCTCACTCTCTCGCTCCATAGGTCTATTATGAAAGGGTGAACACACACTCGGCTACCACTCACTACTATTACGACTATTGCGGGGTGAAAGACATCAGTAAAGAATTGATACTCGAGGCCAAGATACCAATTACGAAGATCACACTTACCAAGGGTTTTGCATTTTCGAACATAAGGTCCGCTACGGAATTTGAGGAGGCACGATCACGATTTTTCGCCGAACAAGTAAGAAAATATGTCTGTGTACGTGATAATTGTCATATTGTTGAATGCTTTTTAATTATAAAATCACTAAACACTCGTTCAATTAGAGCGTGTTATTTATCTTTGTGAGTACGCCTAGGCCATGTTCATCCGGTCACAAAAAGGTTACAACACATTTTTTAATCTAACATAGATTTTTTCGTTGTAAAGTATTAGTGCAACAAAGTATGAATAATGCATGAATGTATTATTCATATATAAATTTTGAGGCTTGCCAAGCATTCATATCAGTTTTTCAAGTTTCGAACAAGCAAGCACAAGCGAATGAGTAAAATGCGCAAGCAGTACATGTACGTAAGCAGTACATTACTGCAAAATAGCGTGTGAATATGGTGCAGTTCCGCCATTTTGACGCAATCAAACTCGAAAGCTCATTGTGGTACTTTATTAGAAATCTAATGACTTTAGGTGTATTCTTTCAAATCATCCAATCAGCATTTTAGATCTGGAAGAATACATCAATAGGTCTGCTATTTGAAATCTCCAAACATTTTTGAACTTAAAATAAGATAGATATATTTGAGCGTTGAAAAGAGAGAAAACGAAGATGCTAAGTGCAAAAAGTGTAAGCTACGTGAACAGACCTAATAACGCTCACTCAATTGTTGAATCCGCTGAGCGCACCCCTATTAGCATATTCCATTAAATCTAAAAATATAGACCAAACAAGTACATACAGACACAGCGCTCAGTGAGCGATCGTGCTTCTGAATGCACTTATTCGTCCGTATATTCATATTCAACACGTATATTTGTTTCACTTCAAAACTTATTGCACTGTGTATACTAGTTCAGAAAGTGCAGCAATAAAAAACAGACCTACTGTGTCATTTTTGTACTTTGTTGAATATTTCAATAGCTTTAAATAGATAGGAGGGGAGGAAGAAAAGGAAAAAATGAGAGACAGAGATGTTTTACTCGTAATTATTTCATACAAGATTGTAAATAACCAACAAGACTTACACTTTCAGGAACTTAGTGACGATTATATGGAGATGAGAGAAGGTCTTGATCTCGGGTACAATGTTAACACGATGCTGGTTGCTGTTCTCGGTAATCCATGGTTTACAAATCACTATATTTATTGGAGTCTGAGCGCTCTGTTGCTTAGCTGGCCGTTACGAGTAATCATCGAATACAAAACACAATACGTCGATTACCAGGTAAAAACAGTTTTGAATGAAGTTAAGCGAGAGGAATTTTCAATTTAAATTGTTTCATTTGAGAATTTATCATTATTAAATTATTACACATAATAATTTCTTTTAAGAAAAAATACTTTTACTGTCAAGCTGGATCTTATTAAATCATTCGGTGTGATTTCATGTACTATCTATATAATCATTTAAGTTGCACGCCGAATTTAATTTTCAATCTTGAAACGGAACCCGATTGAATTACAGTAATATCACAAATTAAATTGATGAGCAATTTGATGTTCATATATAGAAAAATAGGGTTAGCGATAGGAACTAATATAACTTCTACTACTGTGGAGCTGTAATAACTAAAATGTGTCTTTAAAATAGGGACAGCTAATGCTGTTGCTGCTCAAGCTGAATTTGTTAGCTATTTGCATTTATGTATTGTATAATACATGAAGAATAGAGATCAAAAGACTCAACTAGGCTTTTAAAAAATGTGATCAAAATCAGATTTCTGAATTAGTATTGATGGTGTTCGGTAGACAGCATTCGAGTCGCAAAACTTCTCATATATGCTTACGTACACAATCAAAGAATAGACACTAGGGTTTAGCAGAAAAAGCAGCTGTTGTAAAATTTGTTAATATTATTGGTTTTGTCCTTAGTTCTTTACTGGATCTAAACGTATAAAGCAATTGTATCTAAGAATTTTACAATAGTTACAAATACAGTCGAACCTTCGTAAAGTTAATCTCCGTTTTTAACCTCGTAAAAGTCATGTCTTAACCTCCTATCGCGCATGCGCATTTGTTTACTTTTACGGTTGGTCCCCGACAAGTTACTTTTACAGAGGTTCGATTGTAAGCTGCTTTTTCTGCTGAATGCAGCCATTATTCTTTGACATCACGCTTTGGCAGTAATAGGAAAACGTAAATTATCATTAAAATTGTATGAAGAATAAAGCATTCTTCATATAAAACTGATACGATCACTGCAAACTGCGATGTTGTGAAACGGAAGCGACATTTCGATTAAACTAATTCAGATGACCACTTTTGGGCACATATAATCTGATGGCATCATTCATATAAGTTCGGTCTTCTTGACACTTATTATGGAATAAGTTGGAATGAATTCGGAAGGAATAAATTGGAAGGAATTATTTCGTTTTTCTTAGAAAATACATAGATCAGAATACAATCTAGGGAATAATCGAATAATTCCGATCGAAATCCATTTCATAATACACACAGAGAAAAAATTAGCCAAGGTAGCTAAAATAAAGCTATAGCAGTTAAAATGTATCCTTATAATAGGGATAGCTAATGTCGTTGCTGCCAAAACTCAATTTATTATTTGCTAAAATTTAGGTGCTGCGAAAAATATCTTCTGCTAAGTAAAATGGCAACTAGCAGCGTTCCAGAAACAATTGCGAATGAAATGTTCAGTTACGCGATTAAAATAGTGAGGAATAGCTGCCATTCATTTAGGTACTCATATTAAGTGCGCTTTTAATTTTATGTAATAAAGTTATGTAATAAAGTCGGCGGCAAATGTATTTTATCTTTAATAACCAACTTTTAGTCATAATAACAAAGTTTGAATCAGCAACTGATATTTAGCTGATAAATCTTTTTTTTGCGTGTATGTAATATACAAGTATCGCGATATTAGATATGTATTGTATCTAATTATATAGATATAGATGACTGAGATAGAATTTAGATTTGTGCTATAAATTCTATGCTTATGATACATAATTTTCTATTACAAAAAATAGTTATAATTCTAGCTGGAGCAGCAAAATATTTTTTTTGCGTATGGTCTCTATTCTTCACGGTACTGTAGTAACAAATTTTGTTCCTAAAGACATATGATGTTTAGCTGAATGCTATTCTTTGCTGCAGAACTTTTACGTCTTTTTAGTTGTCTGTACTAATATATGCTAATAATTCAGCTAATAAAGTTTTATACCACAGTGAATGTTTTTTTATCTAATAGTTAGAGCTCAGTAATGACACTAAGCTGATAGCTCTAACAGCTAAATTTGATTCAGTTATTCAAATTTAGTTGTTATTGCTAAGTCATTTTTTTTCCGTGTAGGTATCTTGGTCAGAAAGATCTTAATAATGAGTGTTGCTCTATCGCACGGAAAAAATAGATTCGCTGATTCAGCAAAGCTGTAGCTTGCTGCGTGAGTTTAATATCAAGAAAATTTGATAAAGAAATTATGTTTGTAAGTAACTATCAGTATGCTCATAAAACAAACTCGTCATTATTAACACTGTTATTATCACTATTATTGCAACAAATTAGTTTAATTGAAATAATTAATTTACACACTGCGCTTGTGCGCTGCGCTGTACGATTCGTCATGTTTTCTTCCATTGCATTGTTGCAAGGTAACCGGAAGTACAGGTCTTGATCAAGTTTGACGTGCATTTATTCATTTACCATCAGTCACATGTTTATTTGTATATATTATAATTAATATAATAATTTGCTACTAATAATTAACTAAGTTTTCGGAGAAAAGAAAAAGGAATACACGCGGCTATTGTGTAATGTACATGATGATCGTCTATTTCGATATTATTTCCTTTTTATAATAGGCTATCTTGGATCGGTATATACGTATTTACATTTGCATCAACAAATTCGCGTATTCCCTAATTCTTACAGTCGAATGAGAGGGGAATACTTGATTGTGATTAATCAATTCTTAAAGATTATGACATATACGATATATGATTACGGCCAATTCAAACGCTCCCTTAATTTTCGATTTGCGTTATCAGGGTTGGTGAAAGAGGCCTTAAGACGTCTGCGTATGTGTATACGATATCATTTTTGCAAATAAGTCTGTTCTTATTAGTTAATGTTCTCAGATTCTCTGTTAAAAAAATAAACTTCTTTTATCAATCACTTTTTAAAGAATAACATTCAACGGCTGAGATCTGTTGGAGGTCATTTAGGGTAATGATTTTGACAATATACAATCAAGGTTAAGGTTGGGGCAAGGTTCTCTATAGTGAATAATTATCTCCAAACGAATTTGTTAAGCAATATCGAAAGTGTACAGGGCACATAAGAGTCAATATAACATAATATTTTTAAAATAAAAAATCAAACGAAAAGTATGTAAAATATAATAGTCTATAATTGATTAAAAATTTTATATATATATATATATATATATATAATATGTTTTGGTTATTGGAAACAGTATTGTTCACATGAATGAATAAATCAATTTAAT